CCCAGAATTCTCCAGCCAGCTGGCTGGAGAATTCTGGGAGTTGAAGTCCACAAGTCTTAAAGTTGCCAAGGTTGGAGACCTCTGTTGTAAGGTATCACTCTTTTTGTGAATGGAGCAGCACAGTCTTGTCCATGTTTATTCCTAATTTGCCCCATCGAGTTAGAGTTTCTTACCTGTGTATGCTACCTGTAGTTTATGTTACAGTAGTAGCTACATGTACACTATGAAAAAAGAAGTCAGTGGCTTAGAGTTAGGGAGTTCATTGGAAAGACACAATGTAACTCCTGTTTTTAACAAGGAGTTAGGCTTTGTGGGTCATTGGAAAATCAATTTTTTTTTTTTGAAATGTATCTAAAACTTCTTTTCCATGCAGCTGATCTTGTGTAGTGACATGTAACTAGGAAATGTAAAAAGGAAAGTGAGCTAACAAGTTAGAACCATTAAATAATAATGTAAGCACACCGTAAAATATGTGAGAGGTACAACTTTGTGTGTGTAAAAGTATGTGCTCCAACAATACCACGGCCTACCTCTGAAGTTAAAAGACAAATATAATTGTTTTTGAACTTTGTACAAAATATTTGTTACATTATTGAGCAAAAAATTCCACACTGGATAGTTTGTATAGGGGTTGTTTTTGTAACTGCTGCTGTGCTCTATTTGAACAGTGATGGTGAGCTGGTTTCCTGCATGCGGATCCATTGTTCCAAGATTTTTGGGAAGAGGAGGGGTGGGATGTGAGATAATGTGTTTTGTGCACGCGTGTTTAAAATCTGGAGCTCCTGTCTTGTCAACTTTAAGCATGCTTCCTGTTCTGTCAGGCCAGACAATGTTTAATAAAAATGTTAACACGTTAAGTGCATGAGAGAAGGTGGAAGGAGTGGAGGAGTTGATCAAAAAGAGCATGAGGAAAAGTTTTCAGGTACATGGAATATAAAGGAGATCAGAACAAAAGTTGGATAGTTAATGATACATGTGGTCTGGAAGTCTGAATTTTTTTTGTACTATAACCTAAGAAGATTTGTACACTCCAATTTTATATGAATGTATTTTTTTTCTATTGGTGTAGCTTTCTGTAGTCTGAGAAATATTAAAGGTGGGATAGATGAGTTAGTAGACTTAAAATTTCACTGATCATGTCATTGAAAGTGTTCTTAAAACACCTATTAACTGTACAGTATACCTATGTATCCTTACACAAATTATGATAAATCTGCTATTACCATTGTTTTGTGAAAGCACACAATGAGTTACATGTGACTAAGCTTTAGCATAATGATTACTATGTGTATCTCTGGGATTTTATTTCCTCATACCTCACGTCCAAAACTTTTTCCTTTGTCACTACAACTTGGGACCATATGCATCTGCAATTTTTTTGCCTGATGATAAAAGTTTTCTATTTTAGAATATGGTGAGATTTCATTCTGCAATGAAAAACATGTTGATTTTTGAAGAGCTATATTCCTATTCAAATCTCTAAACTACCTTCTCTAACTTTTAAAAAGTTAAAGATACACATGCTTTCTACAGTAAAGCTCACAGGTAGAATGCTACAACTTGTTTCTTTCTGGCCAAAATGAACTTGAAAGGATTATGTGCTTGTAAATATTAGAAAGTCAGTTCTAAGAAAGTTCTTATTTTTTTCAAGTAATATTTATTGCCTTAGCAGTTAATAACTTAGCACTGTATCCATATCCTTAATTTTGTGTCAGTCTCAAGTCTGCTATTTTTCTTTGTAATTTTGTCATTCTTGCATATTGAAAGAGTCAATACCACATATGTAGAATCTTAAGGTTTTCAAATTAAGAATTTGAATCCTGTATCTATAAATTCTGCAGGTGTTTTCTGAAAAATAACTGAACTGCTCTGCAAAACAGCTTAATAAAGAGTTTCACACACAAAGAGATTTGTGGAGAAAGCATTTTGTACACTGCTTATGGTGCAAAGCAAACTTATTTGATATAAGGCATTTTGTAAATTTATCAAAGCAGCTGATATCTACCACTTTCCCATGTAATACTTCCCCCTAGAACAGCAGTTCCATTATTTCATAAGGTTAAATTTTAAGTAGGTTTGTCATTTCCTTATTATGCAAAAATTAAGGAATTAATACTCTTATCATGCATAGCTTACAGATGTGGGCATGGCTTAAAGAATAATTTCATGTTAACTTTTTGGCCACAAAGAAGCAAACAGGTAAATAATTTACACATAAAAGGTATTTATCCTTGTTTAGGTGTATTTAGACAAGCTGTCATACTGTGCATGTTCTTTAGAAGAGATTTTTCAAACTGAGCCCTGCACTATGAGATGAAAATCAACTGTGCCCATAAACTTTGGACAAAGTGACCTTATAATGTACCTGCAAATTTTAACTCTGGGTTTGGGTTTGGGTTTGTTTTGTTAGACAAATAGTATTGTTAAAACTATTGTTTTTAGAAGAACAAATAACTACTGAACATTAAAGTTAGTTCAATGTATGCAGTACAATGTTAAATTACTAAATATTTCTGTTAACTAAATATTTTTTGGTACTTAGATGAATTTAAAATAAGCTATTTTTTTAAAATTGAAATTGGTGCTTTGGTTCCACTATGACCAAGTAAGTCACGTTAAAATTGTAATCTATGTTAAATTAAGGGTGCAAATACTTCTCCCTGCAAGAATCCTGTAAAGAAACAAATAACAAAGTAGTAGTGATCCACTGAGACAGGCAGCCTAGTCAGGCCACCTTTTTAACTGTTCCTTGTTAAAACAGGAAATGCAGAGCACAGACTGATTACAGGGTAGCTTTGGTTTTCCCTTGTTAGTAATCAGCACAAACGCTCCAATGTAAACACTGCCATGGCAGCACCAATATGGCCTTTGCTCTAATAAAAATAAAATCAACTGGACTAGTTTGCATCTAATGCTCCCTGTAGTTTCCTGTAACTGCAGCTTCTGCACAAATACAGGGTCTCTTTTCTGGTAATTAATGCTCCTTTATTGAAATCTGCTTATTATCCATTCCACCACCACCTACCCAAAAAAGTTGCATAGCATTTTTCTCCTGTTGAGTCCAAACCTGTTTTGTCTCATTAACCTCTGAGCAGAGGGAACATGTCACAATAAGTAAGCAGATCAAAGAGCACTCAGTACTGCAGGTTTGTTCTTGCTTTAATTTTTATTTATACTGTCAGGAGTTTTACCGGTTCACCTTTTTTCATGTTTACGGGGGTGAGGAGAAGAGCAGCTTTTACATTTTGTTTTGAAGGCACCAGAATACATTTTCTGGCCTTTGAACATCTTTTAGTTTCAAGTTTGTTTGTTTTTTCTTTGCTTTTTAAAGCAATCTTCTGTTCTGGCTAGCTGAAATAGTTGGATTGCTTGATTGCTTTTCTCAGCATTTAGGTGTACATTTTGTGTAATATGCTAGCATCCGTTGACTTGTTTTTTTTTATTACATCTCTGAATGAATTCCTGTTCTTTATCCATGTATGAAGGGCACTGATGGTGAGAGCAATGACTAAAGGCCCAGGAATCAGACCATTATATATTGGAAAGGAAGGTCACAAAGGCATCCGGAGAGAAGGGAACTTACTACAGCAATAAGTTCTAAATATCATTAACTATCTGGTATCACTGTACAAAGATGTTTCTAAAAGGAATTTTCCATTCTGTTGACACATTTCTATGCTTCTATAAGGCATAAGCTACCCTTTTAGATTGTATTCTACTATCAAAAGTTTTAGCAAATAGATACTATCAGACTGAAATCCAGGCTATTCATTGCTGGTAGAGCGCTGATTAAAAAAGAAAATCTGGCCTTGTATACAGGTAGTCCTTGATTTACGTGCCCAAAATTTCTGATGCTAAATGAGACATTCGTTAAGTGAGTTCTGTCCCATTTTATGACCTTCCTTGCCACAATTGTTAAGTGAATCACTTAACACTTAATCACCTTAGCAATTGTTAAGCTTGTAACTGGTTGTAAAGTGAATCTGGCTTCCCCATTGACTTTGCTTGTCAGAATGTAGCAAAAAAACGATCACATAGCAAATATGAACCAGTTGCCAATTTTGATCACATGATCATGGAGATGATCCAACAGTCGTAACTGAAAAACTGTCTTAAGTCATTTTTTTCAGTGCCGTGAACTACTGTAAGTGGAGGACTATCTGTAGTTCAAACCCTGATATAATGCCCCCCCTTTTTTAAACATTTGTTCCATTCATGGGAAGACCTTTGCTACAAAACTTTCAATTTTTATTGAAAGATACTATATGAATGTGTAACATATTGTAAATTATATCAAACACAATGAAAAGAGACCTTTGATTTCATGTATATTATGCTCACATGATGCATTGGATCACAGAGTGGTTAACCACTCTACGAACCCAGATCTTGTGTCTAGGTTCACTGTCTGACCTCAGAAATTTTGATTAGTTGATTAAACTAGGTTTAAGTTAGCAATGGTTAAGAAAGTTTTGTAAACATTACCACAGCCCGCTTCTGAATATGTTAGATAAACATCTGAAAATGCAAAATAAATCCATCAACATGTACAGTAAGTGCCTGAGGCCTTTCACTTTGCTTTCCACCTTGTCCCCATCCACTTTCCTCCACTGGTGGTTCATTATTGTTACAGGACACATGTTAATCTCTGTGTTCTCTTCAGGCTAGATGGCCCAACAGTTAGCTTTATTATTATAATTCGGAGAACATTGACCTATTGTATTGTAATCACCTAGTTTACTGACATACTAATGACACAGTATGACCACAAGTAGATCTTGAGCTCTGATACAATTGAACACCAGAATTCTCATTCTTAGCCCTGCGCATGATATGTTATGCTTATGTTGGTAGATAACATGCATTTCTTTACCTTGAAAAGTTTCTATTTTTATTGAACAGTATCTCTTAGAAGGTATAATAACAAACTGGGTTACCAGAGTTTATGTTCATAAATAACACTGGAAGTTGCTGGGGAAAAAGTATCCACCGATAAACAATGAGCGCAGTTTTCCCATCAATGTATTTTCTGCTTGAGAAAGCCCCAATTGTTATCCCTCACCATCAGACATTCTGAAAAGATACAGGACCATTGCTGGAAGAAGCAAAGCAGAGAAAGCGTGCAGAACGTGGCTTCTGGAACAATATCCAATCCTTTAATTGTAGCTCCAGTCTAGGTCATGTGAGTGGAATGGAGAATGGAAAGGATTTGGAACGAAGGAGGGGATAACAACCTAATTCATTGCCTAACTGCTTTTTCCATTAGGGATGCATTGGAATACTTTTCCCGATTTATTTATTTTTAATCTGCAATTCTCAGTCCGATGTGGTCCATTTTAAAATGTTGCCAGCTCTGTAACAAATTTGATCAACTTTGCTTAGTTTTCAAATCATACTGTGGGATAAATTACATAGTTATTTCCAGTGGTACATTGGAACAAGAAAGAATAAAAGGTGACAGCACAAAAGAAGAACAATTAAGCCCTTCTCATAAGAGGTGGTTGAATTAATTAAACCCTTTAGTAATACTTGTATTTACTAGTTTGAGAAAATAACGTCACTAGATCAGTATTCAGAGAGAGGAGCTGTTCTGCTGTTATTCTATTGGAAAGAACAGGTCTTGATGAGCCTTTGTCAAGAGACTGAACCATTTTCCAATATATAGGATGAAAATCTATTGTGTTCATGGAGGTGGAGTTATGATAAGAAGTAATAATCATTTCCCCTTTTTATCCAATGCCAAAATATACTGAGTTCTTGTTGCAATAAAACCTGCTATCACTGTTAAAGATGACCAAAGAGAAATTGAACTACAGATAGTCCTCACTTACCAATGGCCTCATTCAACATCCATCCAAAGTTACAATAGTGCTGGGGGAAAAAACTTTACACCAGTGTCCACATTTATGACTTCATAGTGAAGTCATTTATTATAGTCACTATGTGTTGTCCTGTGCCTGACCTGTGGTTCTCTCTCAATATTGCAGAGTGGAAAGATTGGAGAGGAAGCGATACAAGAAAGAAAGAAAGAAGGTACACAGTGGGGAATACACCAGGCTATTTGTGCAGTGCGCCCATGGTTGCCAAGGCCAGCATGTTGCTTTCCATGTGCATTCCCCTTTGTGTGTCAGCTTACTCTCTTGTAATTCCTTCATTGAATGTAAATTATATATCAATGGAAACATTAATTTCTTCCTTGCTAATCATATCAGGGTTGAGCATTCCCAAAACTTGGGAATTGATTAGGAGGCAAACAAAAACAGAAGCTTGTCTTGTCAGTTTCAAGCCAGCTACCCCAGCACTGGTGGGATTACCATTTCAAAGGATTGGAGAGTGGGAGAGAGGACAGCACAGTTGTGTCATATGAGTTCTCACTTAGAAACTACCTCACTTAGAGATACAGTTTCTGGTCCCAATTGTGGTTGCTAAATGAGAACCTATAGATACTTATAGTAGCAAGTATAGAAAGGCTGGAGGGAAAAAAAAAAACCTTCATTCTAATATAGACAAACTATTTTTCTTGAGGATTTCAGGGAGAAGATGAAGGAAATGTGGATATCATTCTGAGGCATAATTGACCATTCTCATGATATTTTTTTCTCACTGTATTAGTGCTAAATGCTAATTTGCAAGTACAATTGTAGAAATAGGGTTGAGATTTCTATTTGTAAAAGATATTGTGATACTTCATGCAAAATGTTAACTGTTTATAATGAAGTCTCATATCCAGCTTTTAATTTTAGTCAGTCTAATTACCAAGGTATTATTCTTGGATGATTTCATGTTAGAATGTTCAGATAAAGTCAGTGTGATGATGAGTAGCAATTTAGAAAGGTCAATTGTGAATGGGAAACAGTTGATGGTACCAATTTGTTTTTGATTTTTTCATTCTGTGGGTTTATTTTTATTCTCATAGATAGCATTAATAATGAGAGTGGTTTGTGTGCCACAAAAAATACATTGGGATCAGACATCTTGGGTGTTTCATTCTGGCTGTGAATGATGGGTTATCATAACTTAAACCCCCGCTTATTACTTAGTTTTTTGAGTTAGTTTGGCCTATTTGATTTTTCAACAAATGCTAATTAAATAACCACACTTTAATGTTCTGACTGAATTAGCTCTGAACAATTGTTCTAAGTTAGTAAAAAGTGGTAGAATTAATTTGGAAGAAAATTAGCCAGATGAATATACACATTGTTGGCCAATAATTGGTGTGGTTCTCAAAATAAAGCAAATCATGGCATGTATACAGGCAGATACCTGAGTTGCTCACATTTTCAGAATGAAAGATACTAGGACTTTCTACCTAGTCCTCATTGGTGCATATTACCACATTTTTATTGTAAAGGATGGTGATAATGTGTTTGAATAGAGAAATGCAGAATTAGGAGAGATACCATCACACCTTTTCATGTGCATCATAGGTGCTGCTGCAATATCAGGCAGTGAGACAGAAGACGATGACAGCATGGATGTTCCCCTGGATCTCTCTTCTTCAGCCTGCTCAATCAAGAGGAGAAGACGGGGTAACCTGCCCAAAGAATCGGTGCAGATTCTTCGGGACTGGCTGTATGAGCACCGTTACAATGCTTATCCTTCTGAACAAGAGAAAGCACTATTGTCGAGACAGACGCACCTTTCCACACTACAGGTATGTAAGCATGTTTTAATGAAGCTTAAGACAATAATGACAAGTTTGTTTACCTGCTGAATACTATATATTTTACTTTTAAGTTAATAGACATTGGGTGGCATAGCACAGTATTATTATGCAGTGTTCTATTGACTATTAGCTTCCACTTTACTTAAAAAGTGTCTTGGTATTTGATTGACAAAGGTGCTATTTCAGCCTGGGTTTTGCTATAGACCCACAAAGTTCATTGGCTAAGTGGGTTGGATGCCTGCTTACCCAGGACTAACCTTTTGCTCAGTGCCTAAAATAAGTATAAATGTTCAGTGCTTTTTATTAGGACAATTTAAGCTCCCAGCCTAATGAGAAATCCTGATTTACATGAGGCAAGCTCACGCAGTAACATTGATGGAAAGAATGTGAATTTCAGTTTTTCCAAATCTTCTAAATGCAGTAAACTCAGTGCCCTTTCTTACTGAAATACTTCTTTTTGCATATTTAGAAATCAGTTCGTGTCTAATCGACAGCACTAAGATTTACTTAAGAATGCAAATGATTGGTTTCTATTCCAAATTGTGAAAAAATACAATTCTGAGTGTGTAAATTAAGTGTTGCTTGCTCCTTTCTACAAGTAGAAAAGGAGGTGAGTGTGTAATAATTCTCTACATAAGTTTTACTTGCTTTGTGAATATATATGTAGTTTCATTTTCTAACATTTGAAATAAGATTTGTAGCAGTATTTGATATAATCTGGGTGTATGAATTTAAATATATGAAGCTTTTCCAAGACTCGAAAGCTTATAAAAATGGCTTTTATTATTAATCTTAAACCATACAGGGAGGGAGGATATAAAAACACAAAAGGAGAATTTTTAAATACTCATTTTGTTTGTGGGATTTTTAACATAATTTTCTTCCAATCCATTGACTGTTACTTATTTAAAAAAAATACATTGTGTGTGCAGAACTTGTAGCAGGTTATGAGTATATTTATGCTTTTGGAGTGTGTCAGCTCAGCCTATTTCATAGGCTTTATTGTAAATCTGGTTTTGCCGTGTTGGCTCAAGAGTAATTGGTATTATTTCTTTGTAGGTATCCCACACATTTTCTTTGTAAGGAGAAACAGTTCTTGTACAGTAAACAAAAAAGGACTGTTGGACTTTCTTTTATTGCCCAGGAAACTGGCTTGATACTCAAACAAGGGCAAACTTGATGAGGTAATCCCTCTTTTGCCTGTTGACATAGTCAGTTGAACAAGGCAAATCAGTAACTCCTTTAGGGAGGAGTTACTGTTTCAGAGGAAAATGTTTTCCTGTTGTTAATTAACTTAAGTGTAATGAATTAGATTACTCTTTGTTCATTACTCCAAGATTACTCTTTGTTCATAACATATATTCAGACTTAAAACCAATTTTAGGTCTTTACCCATTACAATCTTCGAGTTTTCTGCTGAGAGGAGGGGCTGGCCGGATCAGGAAAGACTTTCTTTAGGGTGTGTCAAAACTTGTTTGCCAGCCTTTTTTTTTTTTTCTGGTCAGGTTTAGAAATTTAGCTTGAAGGGATTCAGGCATTTAGCTTAACTGCTTTCATGCAATACATAAATGGAATTGAATGAAGGTAAGAATGAAAATGTCATTGTATTCTCAGGTCTGCAACTGGTTCATCAATGCACGGCGCAGGCTTTTGCCTGACATGTTGAGGAAGGATGGAAAGGACCCAAATCAATTTACTATCTCACGGAGAGGGACCAAAGTAATTGATGGCCACCCAGTGGAATTTTCCAGCTCAAAAAACTGCATTCCCCTGATTGAGAGCTCCTTTCTCTCTGGTAGCCCAAGACCAAACAAGACTTGTAATGCTTCTTCTCCAGGATCTCTTTTGGCTCGTCCCTCAGTAATTTGTCATACCACCGTAACTGCACTGAAAGATGTCCCTTTCCATTTCAATCAGCCCTCTGGTACAGGTCAGACTACAGATGACCTTCAGTGGGCTTCACCTACCAACTTTACAGACAACTCTCTCCTATTCCATGAGGATAAGTTGGGACCTAGTTCGAATGCACAAAGTGGGCTTTTCAACACTCCTCCTCCAACTCCCCCAGATCTCAATCAGGACTTCAGTGGATTTCAACTCCTGGTGGATGTTGCACTGAAACAGGCAGCGGAGATGGAATTGCAGGCAAAACTCATGGCATAAATAGTTCTTCGTATTTTCTCTTCCCCCAACAGGGATGTAACAGAAAGATGTGGCAATTGTTTCAATGGTATCAAGGATTTAACTGCATTATTTCTTCTAATTAATCTTATTTGCACAAGGGATTGCTGAAATGAAGCTTCCTATCCCTGTTATGGTCTTCAGTGGATTCCAGTCATTCCAAGAATTATAAACTTAAAGCTACTGTAGAAGCAAACCTCCCTCCTTTTATTTTAAGTTTCTTAGTAGGTTTTTTCTTTTCATAATGTGAGATGGTTCCCAAGATCATGTGATTTTGTTTTGTTTTCATTATTTGTCTCTTTCAGACTGTGCAATATTTAGTAATAAGATTAGTATTCATATCATTCACATGTGGAACAAAATATACCATTGGGCTGTCTTCAAAAGGTTCAGATTTTAAAACAAGTTTGGATTTGAATGATTATACTTTTTCATGATGTAATAAAATATTTTCTTTAATAGTTGATTTGCCCTGAGTATTTTGTTGAACTAGTGTTTCAAAGGGTAGAAAAATTGCATTGTAATATGGAGACATTCAGTTCTTTCAACACTGTTTTAAAAAAAAAACTTAAAAAGAATTTGATTTAAATTTGTGCTGCTACTGATTATAAATGGCTTGCAATGAAACGTGCTATAAGAGCTTAATGTATTTCCTTTAGTACAGTTTATGGCGTATTCCTGATTGTAGACAATTCTGCTTAAACAAGAAAACATTTAAATGCAAGTTCCTTGTTTATTTAAAAACAAAGTGATTTCACTGTCTTATTGATTAACCATTGGTTATTTTAATATGGTTAAGATACTTTTTCCAAAATGTCTTATAGCAAATCCATATTTATCTGAAAACTGAATTTAAGATGACCCTCTCCCAAAGGATTATTAAACACAAAAACATTTTATTTTCTACATATTTATACATTTTCAAGTGGAACATAATTTTTTTAGCCTTCATGATGATGGTAGGAAATAAGATTTTCATCCAAATGCACACAGATGATCACATGTTAAATCTGTTTTTTATCTCAGAGCACAGCAGTGTGATCTGAAAATGGACAACTTTCCTTTGCTGTGGTCAGCGCACTTTTTGGTTTTCATGCATCTTACCATTATGTTTAATCTCTGTAGAAATGTTGAAATAATCCACTCAAGATCTATTTGGGCTTTTGGGGATTGCTTGAGGAATTCTCCAATCAGCTTTGTTGTATGTCCCACTAATCTCTGAAACATGAAAATGGTGAGGAAGCCAAATGAAAGTTTTCAAATTTCCCTCCTCCCTTGCAGGATCTAGCAAGTTCCTTGGTTCTGCAGAGGAACTGCAGAAGATGAAACAAATGTAGAGACACCTAAAATGATGGTGGAAAAAAAGTATGAACCTAACCAATCACAGTTTTATCTCTAGGTATTTCATAGCAATAAGGACAGCAATTTCTCTGCTCTTACCGTATTTGCAGACTTGCATGTGTTTAAGGCTACCCATTCTTTTTGGTGAAAAATAGTGAAGATGCTCTTGGTGTCATGAAGCCACATTTACAACTTTTTTTATAGTTAAAATACAGTATTTCACACTTTCTCTAAGCTTAGTTCCATTTCAACAGGATCTGTCAAGAAGTCCAAGGCAATGTCTTGCAAGAAGATCGGATGTAATCTTAATTGAACAGATTCAATTAATGTGTATTGGGCCCTTTGCAACATGAGTTTAGCCACTTGTAACATGGATCCATGTTTGTGGTTGCATTCGGGAAGTGATCACTGCTTTGTTAAGGGAATGGGAAATTCTAGTCATCTTGAAGTAATGGTATACCTTCTCCTAAAGCCAGTGTTCAACCCAACCACATAGAACAACTATTAACTAATTTCTAACCTTGCCTTTTTAAGGAAGGCAGTTAGAATCCAACAAGAATCCCAAAGAAACAGATTTTCTTGACTTCTTGCAGTTGTAATTCAGGCCTGGGCATGGGATGGAAATTGCATTGGTTGTCCTTATGAATGACCTTTGTTTGACCAGGGTGCAAAGTGTCCCTTCTGATGTTTTAGACTTGTTGGTGGCTTTTGATACCATCAACTATGGAATCATTCTGGCATCTAGATGGGTCAAATCAAGCTTAAATTAAATCTCTTCAAACTTGATACTTACTCTTCGTTGATGTTTCATTGTCCTGAATCCAATTCCAATTTTGATTCTTAATAGGGTCATGCTCCTCTATTGGAGCAAATCCATGTTTTGAATGTCCTGGATTCATGACACTTGCTGGAACATTAGATAGAGACTGTGGCCACGAAGGTCTTTGCATTAATTTCAGACCTTTCTGAACTGGGACTCCCTGGCAAAAGTTAATCAATGCCTTTGGCACACTCCATTGTAAGACAGTTTACGCAGGTCTTGGAGCTGCTTTTAAGATGGCTTGGAAGTTTCATCTAATAACCAGAAGCCTATCAGCTAAACAAGGGTAGCATTACAGTGGTGTTACTCTGGTGGTGTTGGTTATATATTTTTTGGCTTAAAAGCAAACTTCTGATTATAATCTAAGGCTGTGGCAGCACATGATAAAAGTACTCAGCCTACAGGAGATAAGGAAAAAGAGGCACTTGGCAACAACACTTCTCAGAGAAAGCTTTGCCCCTTGTACTTTACTTGCAGAGTAAGGAATGCATCCTATTAAGAAAGCTTTGAAAACTTTCCTGTTATATAAAACATATGGGCATCTATGGTCTTAGGGCTGCCTTAGATTATCTAGATTCATTACTTTTTATTGGCTACTGTTACTAGTAATCTGCTTCAAATCCTTGTGTAAGTTAGGCAGTCTACAAATGATTTAGCTATGTAAATGTTACATTATTTGAATGAAGACATCATTATGTATTTGGTATCTCTTGCTCCCTTTCCCCCTCCCCTACAGATAAATATGATGGGAATGAGATCTTTGGTACATGTTCACATATATAGACACTAATGCCATACCTGCATTTATATTCCTGATTTAGGAGCTTAAATACAGTATTCTAATATCTTTGTAGCAATTATATGTTAAAGCATGTAGGTAGCTCCACATAACCAGCTGAATATGCATATAAACACATGGCTAGATGTTCAGTGATACATGAATAGCATCAAACTTTATTTGCAATATTTACAAATGCTGTTTCTTCTCCAGAAAATTAAGAATTTGTGATCTAATTAAAAATAAGTTATCACCCACAACTATATTGAATTAAATTCTGGGTAATTTGTACAGAATTATATAATTTAATTTCTTTAAAGAGAATTCCCCACTCAAATGGAGCTTAAAAGCAATATAACAATGTAGGCTAGGGTCATCTCATTGGGTATATGCGCTTTAATTTAAAGCACCCCTATAAAGGCCAGCAGTTTAGATAGCTGGAAGGAAGAGGACAATATTAAATTAGTTTCCTCTAATGTTCTCCCACTAGAAATGTTTTCCGCTAAAATATTCCTCTACAGGTATTTCAAATGCATTTTTTTCTGACAGAAGTGCCTTTATTCTAAACATATAATTGTAGTGAAAAGCACAAGTTTCCAAGTTTCACCAAAATTCTTCATGCCACCAAGAATATCTAGAATATTAAGTTTCTGATGTACAAGCAGTGTTTGTGGGTCTGATTTCACTACACTGTTTGGCTTATCTTGCACCTGAACTCAAGATGATACGTCAGGCAGCCTACATCAAAATCTGATACAACTAGTTGAAATTGTTTTCAATCTGAGATGGATTTGCTGCCAATTTGGCTAAAGGTTTTGTGAATTTTTCAGATTTATCGGCCGGTGTAATTTTTACTTTCTAAGCCAGAGATTGCCAACCAGTGGGCCGGGGACCACTGGTGGTCCGTGAGAAAATTTTGGTGGTCCGCAGAGAAATGTCATTCCCAAAGTAATCCAGGTTGTGTGGGAACACAAGGCCCACATGGCCCACGGGAACACAAGGCTTGCATCGCTTGCATCGTGAACAGCTCAAGGTAGTGAGGGGAGGGGGGAAAGGGCAGGAGGAAACTTGCCCCACTTACCCCACATGCCTGGCCTGGCCACCAGGCTGCTTCTTTCCACTTCTGCTTTTGGCTGCATGCAAGGAAAGCAGCAAAAGTCTTTATCTCCCCCAAACTCCACCAGAAATGAGTCTTTGGGACTCTGCAAGGCATCCTGCTCTAAGAGGTTGGCCGGCAAAGGTTCATTTCTGGCGGAATTTGGGGGAGAGAAAGAAAGACTTCTGCTGCTTCTGCTGCTTTCCTTGCATGAAGCCAAAAGAGAGTCTCTTCCTCTCCCTCTCTCTCTCTCCCTCTCTCCTCCCCACCCCCCGAGAACGGAGCTGGAGGCGGTATCCTGTGATGCCAAATAAAGAATGATTGATCAGTAGGAAAACAGGGTGGAGAATTTTCTTGCACTTTTTTTCCTGCAGCCGCTGTCAGTCAAAATTCATATTAGTGATCCGTGGGATTTAAAATTATGAGTTTGGTGGTCCCTGAAGTCCAAAAGGTTGGCGACCCCTGTTCTAAGCTAATGTCCTTGCATATTTTAAATTGTTTCAACTATTATCTGTCTTGTTTCAACACTTTCCCTAAAAATATCTCTCTTCTATCGGAAACATTATTATGAAGTTTGTTTATAGTTGACACACAAGATGTATTTGGTTAGGTTGAATTACTTTCATGTGGCAGTAATCATGATTCTAAGTGAACAAAAACAGAATTAATAAAACTTTGTTCTAGTGAGAAACAGTGAAAGCACTTGTGTGCCACCAAGTGTAACTGCGCTTGGATTAACACCACTGCAGTGAGAGAGCAAGGAAATATATCTTGGAGGAGGAGAAATCCATAATAAAAATTCATTTATTTTGTTTCTAAACCAGGAATTGAATGAAAGGACTTCAGAGTGATATTTCTATGTTTTCTTCGTTTCTTTTAAATGATGAAATTCCTATTTTAGGATTTAAGCTACACAATGTTAGAGTGGTTCCCATTTCAAAATTATAAGATATTATTTTAAACAGAATCAGACAGAGGATCTAAGTCAGGGGTGTCCAACCTTGGCAACTTTAAGACTTGTGGACTTCAACTCCCAGAATTCCTCAGCCAGCAAAGCAAAGCTTGCCAAGGTTGGACACCCCTGATCTAAGTCCTAGAGAAAGCCTCATAGATACATCCTGACTGATTTGGATGTTTTATATATTTATCTGTGAATTCTACATCTACTTACCTAAGAGTGAACCTCACTGAATATAGCTATGTACAAAATTATTTTCATTTTTCTAGCTGTGCACACATTTAAGATTCAGCATTGTAAACTGGCCAACAATACTTCAGTTTTGGGGAGTACCCT